TGGCTTTTCCGTTCTTCTGAGCTTCTGTATAAATTATGTTATTTTTGGACCTTTTTCAATAATTCGATCATCTGTGGATGGTAAAGAACAAGATCTATCATCGTCAGAAAGTTTCTGAATGTATTCTTTCCATCTCTCCAATTTATCTTCTATACCTATAATTATCTCGTTGTTATTATTTCTTAATATTGTTTCGTGCCTCTTTCTGTGTCTACCTGTCATTTCTTTTACTTTCTTATGGACATTGAAGGTATTGTATTTTTTTCTGAATTTGTTCAATTTCTAGGCATTTGGTTGACATTCAGTTTTCTTTAGCTTCATTATACTTTTTTTTAATAATTTTATTGACTCTTTTGTTGAGTTGGTTTTAAATTTTAGTTTTGCGTTCATGAGGTTCATTATCTCTTGCTGTATCCATTCTTATTTCCTGTTGTTTTTCGTGAACTCGATGTCGTCTTCTTGTATCTTTGTTATTTTTGTTTTTAAAGCAGTCCATGGTACTTCAACGTCTCTTTGTATCAAGTTCTCTTATCGTTTATACTTCTTTCTCAACCTTGATGATTATTTTATATTTCTTTTCAGGCTTCTTCAAATGTGAGATGTCTATTTTTCTTGACATTTTTTTCTTTTTAACTTAATGCTTTTAACTTAAAGCACAGACTTTAATCAGGAAGTTTCTCTTGACTTTTTAGGTACTTTTATTAATTTTTTGTTTTCGTTTATCTCTGCATTCTCAAATTTATTTCCAGTGCTTTTAACTGAAGTATTTCAACTGTCATATGTTTCATCTATACGTGGCATTTATTTAAAAACATCAATATACTTAAACGGTAGTAGTTTGCAAAAGCGCAATTAAATTAATTACGCTAAGTAAAGATATTTGACTAGAATATTTGCTTTTAGTAGTTTCAGAATCTAATTGCCGTGTTGAAGTTGTTGTTCAATGTTTGCTCCTACAACCAAATGTAAATCCGTTGCTATTCTACGGTACAAAATTAATTAGAAATGCATTAGTACATACAATATTTAATTAGAAGATGAGAATATTGGCGAACAGTTGTTAACAGTGCTTATTTTTATTAATTTAACTATATAGTTCTTTAATTGAAACATACAAGTTCAAAGTATTATAAGTAAGATACTTATTGCTTTAAATATTTTTACCAAAAGTTATATATAGGTAATAATCAGTTGTTATATATAATAATCAGTTTTTGAAACGTACCTTTTAGAATTTTTTAGGAAACCATAAATGGAGAACAGCTCGCAAAGGATGGACTTAGGCATATATGACATCTATATTTAAGAAAGAAGATAGGAAACGATGTGAAAACTACAGAGGAATAAGAGGAATATCATCAATAGGAAGATTATATGGGAAGAGACACTGGAACAACTGTTGGAAAAGAAAAAAGCAAAAATAGAGATATACATTTAGCATTTGTAGGCCTGAGAAAGACGTATGACTCTGTACCAGGGTCAGAACTATGGGAGGAAATGTACAAATTAGAAATACAGACGGAACTCATACTAACACAGAAACTACAAGAGCTCGGTATAAAGAAAATAAAGTGTCCATTAAAGTGGGAACAAGAATTATAGGAGACTTCATCACAACAAAAGGGCTCCTGCAGGGCTGTTTCACATCTCCAACCCTATTCAAAATATAATTAGAGAAAGCCTTGACTACATGGAAAAGAAAATGCGAAGGCATGGGAGTACCGGTACGGAACGAATACCAATGTGCGTTAAGCTTTACAGACGATCAAGTAGTGATTGCACAAGACCAAGACGATCTCAGCTACATGATGAAGTAACTGCAAGAAGAATATACCAAGGCTGGTCTAGATATTAACCTCGCGAAACAGAAAACCTATCTACAAGTGAAGAAAAAATAAAAGATCTACAGATTGATGACAACGTAACAATCAAAAGGAAAGGATAAATTCAAATACTTGGGGTTTATAATCATGAAAAAGGCAACAACAGAGGAAGAAATTACACAAAGATTAGGACAAACAAGAACAGCAATCCGACAACTTAACTCAGTATGGTGGGATAGACACCTAAATATGAAGACAAAAACACAGATTTATAAAACATTAGTGCGAAGTATTATGACATGTGGGGCTGAAAATTGGATTATAAACAAGAAAAATAGCAGTAAGATAGAGATAGAAATAAGAATAACCAAATGAAGTTTTTTTTAGGATTTCCCTCCATCCTTCTCTGTCCTGGGCTAGTTGTTCGGCTTAATGTAATCCTTGGTTTTTTTCTACTTAGGTTCACTTTTTTAAAATTTTTTGAAGGTGGGAAATTTCTTTTCCCGTCACATCTATACTGTTCCATAACTACTACATCTGGGGCTAATATCATATAAAAAAAAAGAGGTTAATCTTTGTAAATGGGTATATTTATTTAAAAAACCCTTAAAAGGGCCACATCAATAAAACATACGTTTTCGGACCACACAGTCCATCATCAGGTTTTTTAAAATCGAAAAATGCTAGGTCACAATGCCTGAGCCACCAAAATACTAAGGTAAAAACCCTTTAAATTACATTTAGTTATGAAATATTGTACATTGTGTTGTAAAATAACTGTGATGTTCAGTATTAAATTAAATTTGACTATAGGTAACACATGGCTCAATCGGGTTCCAGAGCCGGTGAGAGGGAACCTCTACATTCGGAGAACAGCGTGGAACTGAACAGAACTGAACCGGCTCTGGAACCCGATTGAGCCATGTGTTACCTATAGTCAAATTTAATTTAATACTGAACATCACAGTTATTTTACAACACAATGTACAATATTTCATAACTAAATGTAATTTAAAGGGTTTTTACCCTAGTATTTTGGTGGCTCAGGCATTGTGACCTATCATTTTTCGATTTTAAAAAAACTGATGATGGACTGTGTGGTCCGAAAACGTTTGTTTTATTGATGTGGCCCTTTTAAGGGTTTTTTAAATAAATATACCCATTTACAAAGATTAACCTCTTTTTGTTATACGTGGTATACAGCCAGCTACAGGAATTTTTCCTTGTGGATTTTTTTTTTAATATCATATAGTTTAGGCAACTGATTAAATTTATCTACGCCACCCATTATTTGATTATATCTTCAACAACTCTGCGACATTGTGTAGTATCTTTGGACAAAAAGTAATATGTTAGTAAATACAGAGATTTATTATCCATCCAACATAACTTTAGTTTGAAATATAAACTGTCCGCGCTCCAGTATAGGGTAAATCCGGGAGATATGAACCACCGGGAGAGATGGACCAGTCCATTATTTCCGAACTGTGACGTTCGAGCGCTACCATCGTTTGTTGTGAGTATGCTTCAGTTACAGTGAAGATATGCTGTTGGTTGTATAGTGTGGTTGTTAATATTTGTCGAGAAAAACGTCATTGTCTGTTTTGGTAAGTCCAAAAGTTTTTTAACGTAGTAATATAGTTTTAGTTTTCAGTTTAAGTTTACATGATATCGACGTAGGATTCTTGTAGCGATGTCAATAAACACGTAGGTAGTAACCTAACCTAAAGAGGCTGCCATGTGTACGTCAAAAATGCGGATTATGAGGTGGTCCATCTTACCCGCACTTTTGGAACAGATGGACCAATACGTTTTGGTAGAGATGGGCCACTTATTTCAATACGGGAGAGATGGAGCAGTACCAAAGTTTTTAAATGTTACTTTTATTAAAACGACTTATAGTGTAATTACTAACTAAGTAGCTGGTATTTTTCTGTTTCAGAAAAATGCCAAATAACTACGTTAGAAAGGATACCAGTAGATGGGCGTGGACGGAAGATGCATTAATATAAGCGGTTAATGCGGTGGAAAATTAAGAAATGTGTGTCAATGGTGTTGCTAAAACTTATCAAATTCTTAAAACCACTCTTAAAAGAAGTATTAAAAAACAAAAATTTGCGAAGGACAGCTTAGGGTTTCCTCCATTTTAGAAAGAATAAAGGAATAGAAGATTGTAAGCCACATAAAAAAGTTACAAACTGATGGGTTTAGTCCTTGCAGGGATTCAGTGAGAAGCATGGCGTTTGAACTTGCTGAAGAGCTAAAACTACTTCACAAATTCAACAAGGAAACTAGAAGAGCTGGTTATGATTGGCTAAACTCTTTTCTTTTAAAAAATCCTACTCTTACTATTAAAAAATCAGAAGGTGTATCTGTATCCCGAGCTAAGGGAATGAACACGAGGTGTGTGGAAGAGTACTTTAAGTTACTTGAAAGTGTTATTTTGGAAAACAATTTAATTGACAAGCCTGGGCACATTTTTAACATGGACGAAACCATGCTTCAACTCAACAACAGGCCAGGAAATGTTTTTGCCATTAAAGGTTCCAAAAATGTAACTTCCATTACGTCAGGGGAAAAGGGTGAAACCGTTTCTGTTCTAGCTTGTACTAGCGCTAAAGGTACATTTCTTTCCCCATACTGCATAATGAAGGGCAAGAACTTAAAAGTTGAGTTCATGGACGCAATGCATCATAGCTCACTTCTAAATATGTCACAAAAATCTTCTTATGTCACTAGTGAAATTTTTCTGCACTAGTTAAAAAGTCATTTCCAACCTAGAAAACCAGCTGGGAAAGTACTTCTCTTACTTGATGGTCACACTTCACACACCAGTTACTTGAAAGTCCTAGTGTACACGAATCAAGAAGGAATCATTTTGATAAGCACTCCACCCCATACTTCGCACTGGCTACAACCTTTGGACCGATCCTTTGTCAAATCAATTAAGTCCTACTTTTATAGTTCTTGTAATTATTTCATTAAAACAATCCATCCAGAAGGATCAATCGTCTGCAGTTTAGAAAACTTCTCAACTCTGCATGAACCAAAGTTGCAGGTGTAGAAAACGGTGTGAGTGAATTTCAAGCTTGTGGCATAGTCCCTCTAGATATGTCTGTAATACTAGCCTACGCCTATCTAGAGCCCGATTCCTCCGGTGCAGTGCCCATTCTCCAGGTATTGGCGCACACTCTTGCTAGCGCACTAACCGGCGAGATTGATCCTGTTGATTCTAATGCAGAACTTATCGACCAACACGTCAATACTAGTGTACCAACAAGTGATACTGTTGATTCTTTTGCCTCCTGTGTAGAACCAAGAACTCAATTTGATCTTGATAATATACCCAGTACTTCTAGTATCCTCACGTCAAAAATGATTCCTTCTGAACTTCTAGAACCTATATTACCCGTCCCTTCTCTCACGCAGAAAGTAACCGTTAAGAGATGTTTGACGACTGTTTCAAAAGTATTAAATTCAGCTCAGAACATTGCTGTTGTAAAAAGAAAGGCAGTTAAGCAAGCACTGAAAGATAAACAAAAAAAGGAAAAGAAACAAGATCAACTGAGAAAAAAAATTGAAGCAAAAAAAAGTTTCTCAAACCAAAAACGGAACCATCTGGCAAAGTGACACAGTTTGAAAGTTTAGACTCAGAAGAATGGGATGAAGATAAATATGTGGGATGTGGAGAGGCTTACAATGAAACTACAAAAAAAGAAGACTGGGTGAAGTATGTAGAGTCCTCGGTGGTAAGTAAAATATGACTTTTGCGGTACCAGGGAAATAATGTCACAAAAAGGGAAGTTTCCCATTAATAGGAAGATTGTGGTCAAGAAAGCAAAAGAATAGACTTGTTTGTTTTTTTATTTGGTTGTTGTTAGGGGAAGGTGGGGGAATGGTGCGCACCTAAGCGAGAATCGTTGTGGTGGTCAACTCTTAAACATAAAAAATAAAATAAAAACGTTATCTGATACCCTAATTATTCTACTTTCAGTATGCACTATAATAGATATTGAATTTCTTAACATAATCATATATAATTAGAAAAAGTAAAAAATTGCATTTGCGCACCGTTCCCCACCCCATGGGGTAACTGTGCGCACAGGGTGGGGAACAGTGCGCAGTAGTTTGGAATATACAAGTACCTAATAATACAGTGGTATAAAAACAAATTCACATGCAAGAACAAATATTTATTGTACGAGTGATTATATACCTATAATGTTAAGTAGGTATCTGTTTAACCTTGACAAAAGTCGCAAATGTATTGTTCGGGGGCATCTTTACCGGTACATGCCGCGTGGTTCCATAAGCCACATGCAACACACCGGTACCATAGTTCGCTTTTTCCATGTTCTCCACATATGCCACATAATTCAGTCCGCACGTCAGGTTCTGCATCAAATGGAACATAGTTGGGGTTGATATCGTCTACTTCATCATCGTCACAAATGTCACTATCGTCTATGTCAGATACCTCTGATGATTCAGGCGTTGCTGGTTTCTTATTTCTCCCTCTTTTAATTTCCGGAGACTGACATATGCGTTTTTTTACTTTTTTTGCAACATTCTCTTTTGCCGTTATTTTTCTTGTAGTGGTTCCGTAGAAGGAGTGAGGTGGGATCGAGAAATAAGCATTCTCGATTTCATCTTCCTCGTCACGTTCTTGTGCATCAAGTTCAGGTGTTGGAGCCCTCTTCATTTTCTTATTATCTTTCTTAATATTGTTCTTTCCTAATGTTTTGACACTTTTTAATTTCATGTTTTTTTTCACGTCTTTTTCCCTTTTCTTTGCTTGAGCTTGTTCTAATCGTTCTTTTAGGGGTGTGCTAGTCAATATTTCAGAGTGTTGTTTCGAACGAGACACTGTTTTTACTCTTCCTTTTTCTTTTCTCCTTGGAATAGGTGCAAATTGGAAGAATGAATTATTTAATGTAGATGTCGATGGTAGATGGTTGTGTCCAGACTTAGATGTAGATGGTAGATGATCTTGTTCAGCGGTAGATGTACATGGTAGATGACCTTGAATAGGTAGATCCTGCTGCTGTTGTTTTGGCATATGAGCTGTCTGTCTATCTTCACCGTCTGAATTTTCACTAGGTTCGGGTGTTGCCGGATTAGGAATTTTTTGTAGATTTGGCTGAGATGCAAGTGTTAATAAATTAGCGCTACGTTCGGGAGAACCTTCTACTACAAACTGTCTCATTTCGTTGGCCGGAGCGAAATCATCTTCGTTGAATTTGTTAGGGTCAAATGGCCTTATTCCAGCAGAACGAAATCCCGAAACTGCTTTCTCCATCGATGCGACTTTTACGAACGCTTTATTTAACAGCTCAGCTACGTCATATTCAGTGATCTTTTCATGGCCTGTTGTAGTTAAATAAATATCATACTCCCTGTATAGCGCATTTTTTAAAGGACCAAAGAAGGATAGGTCAAGGGGTTGAAGGTGATGGGAAGTATGTGGCGGAAGGGACACCATATGAATATGATTTGACTTACAGAAATCGTATGCCTCTATGGATATATGGCTTGAATGGTTGTCAAGGATAAGGAGAATCGGGTCATTTAAAGTGGGATTTGCCTGTTTTTCGAAGTGCATTAACCAATCAAGAAAAAGTTCAGAATTCATCCATCCATTTTTTGAACATTTATAGTTAGCACCAGTTGGCCCATTTTTCTGCAGCGCAGGAGCCATTCTCTTTCTGGGATATATCAGCATGGGCGCGATATAATTTCCTGTGGCACTCATGCAAAATACGGCTGTAATGGTCCTCCCTCTTTCACCTGAAATAGCAGCTCCTACTTTTTTTACACCCTTACGTCCATAAACCTTCGGGCACTTCTTCTGTACAGTGGTTACACCCGTCTCGTCCATATTATATATCCTGTTTGCTTCAAATTTAAATTTTTGTAAAACTTTCTCGAGATTTGAATAAAAAAGTTTTAACTCGTCCGCATTAAATGCAGCAATTCGATTAAGACTAGTCCCCTCAGGCTGTCTCAATGATATTTCAGGATTTCGCTTGAGAAACCCATACAACCAATCTTTGCCTGCTAACTGAGTTTGTTTATTGAAATTATTTGGAATATTTTTCTGTTGAGCATAATTAAACGCTAACTGCCTCAGTTGTCGGGGCGTTACGCCGTAAAACAATTTTGCGAGTGTCAGAATATAGTGGGTTAATTCAGCTTCCACTTCTGCTGTAAAAATCGCCTTTCTACCGAGATGGGGGATTTTTAGTTGATTTAGAGAAAGCTTTTTTCTGAGTGTTGATTCAGGAATACCAAAAGACCTCCCAACTTCTCGTATTTTCCTCCCATCGTTTCTAATTGCATTCAGTGCAGTCTCCAGCAATTCATCACTATATTGATGGATTTCAGTCTTTCGAACGTAATTTCGTGGCATCTGAAAATAAAAGACGGATTTTAGTACCCAAAAACGATAACAATATTGCTTCATATTTAATTGATTAGTGGGTAACCGTGCGCATTTTCGCGCACGGTTACCCCACTATGGTTTAAAAACGTAATTACATCATCCTACAAAAATTACTTATCTAAATGCAACCAAATGGTGTGCATATATGCAGCAGATGATATTCTTTAAGAATATAATTATTTCAAAACAAGTAGTTAAGATTTACGGACTCACCGTCTTAATTTGTGCAAGTGGAAAATAGTAACAAAAACCTCAAATGCACACTTTCGCCTTTCACTAAGTACACAACTCAACTGCAGTGGCAGTTAATGGCTTCAGAGACTCTGTGCATGTTCCCGCTTAAGCCTGTTCGGGAGGGGACTCTCAGTATGCCGCGTAATTTGAATTTTAATGGTGCGCACCGTTCCCCACCGCGCACGGTTCCCCCACTTTCCCCTACATGTATTATTATGTAAAATATACATATTTTTTACTTTATACTTGGTTTGTAGTCATTGATCCTACATTTACCCCCGGTCCATCTCTCCTAAGCTACTGATACATCTCACCCAGACACGTCCTTGTGAGATGGACCATGAAAAGTTTTGGAAAAAATGCAATGTAGCCTTTATTAATAATATTCAATTAGAAAGTAAACTCCTAAGGTTATAAAACCAAATTCTTTACCAAACGCTTAAATAATAATGTTAATAAGTTGACAAATATAATTTTAGTAAGCGTCCAAAGAAATGTTGTCCATAGTTTATTCGTCTTCCGGGTTTGGACCGTGTCATTTGTGAGTGACCCAAAAGTGGGTTCATCTCACTTTGAGATGAACCCACTTTTGGGTCACTCACAAATGACACGGTCCAAACTCGGAAGACGAATAAACTATAATTCTGACTCTGGCCGTGGAAGCCTACGATTTCAAATGTTGTCCAATTCTCTCGGACTTACCCTATATTTGAGGTTGCAGTCATTATTAGGGCAGGATAAGTGAAACTCTTTGTTATTATCTACTATATTGTCGTTATAATTATTTTATCAGTAAATACAATAAAATTAAAATAAAAACATAGTACAAAACAAGCACAAAAACCTACAACATGAGGTTAATTCATTAAATTTTGAACATTACAAAACAATAAAATTATTAAAATTAAATTCCTATTATATTAGCTTCTACATTGTTTTAATTTTATTTAATTTGGGGAAACATGATTGATAATTTATTTTGATATTTGATTTATGTCAGAAAGAGATTTGTCTCGTTTTATTATATTTTTCATTATTGATTGAAAAATTAATTGATTTTGACTTCAAAACAGAATAATCAAATTATCACACACTAATAACATCAACAAAGGGTTAATGAAACAAAAAGAAATCTTATTGGAAAATTCTTACCCAATTAAACTAATTAACAAATTTTTATTTTAACAATCTCAATAATAGTATGGTTGGCATAAATCAAATAAGAGAACTAAATCAAAAAATTGAGCAATCACAATTTTACTTTCACTGCCTTACATACCAAAATTAACATTAAAGTTATCCTACAGCGGATAAATTGCAACAACAATTTTAAATCAGTACAAACCATTTAAACTCTGACGACATATTTATTCAAACCATTATGGAGCGATCCCGATTTCATTCTCGCCATTGCGATTTATCTCCTTTAGAATTGGGATAAAATTTAATTACATGGCATCGTCTCTGTACGTCGAGCCCCTATCTTTTGACTTATTTAGTTTATGTCTATCTCGACCGTCTCGTTCGCCCCGTCTAGACTAACCTAATAAAAAGTTGTTGCAAAAAAATCGAAAATGGCTGTTGTCTCGCAAAAAATCCGGAGCTTTTGTGATGCAAACCTTGGGGGTTGTGACCCGAAACGACTTGTTGAAGGTGTGGATATTACTTTCGAAGTGGCAGCTAAGTAAAACGGTGTTTTATCGGGTGATTTAATACGAGATGAATTTGTAGCATCGCGATATACAGAGTTTTTTGCAATGGAGTTATTTCGAACAGCATTTATTAAATTATCACGAAATTAGCTTTTGATTAGAGAACATTTCCTTTAACAATTATAAAAAGACCAGCTGACTTCTTCATTCTAGGAAGTAGACTTATTTAATGCCCTAGATTAAACGAAGCTAGTAGAAGTGCTCTTTATCAGCATTGACAGACTCAGTAAAACACAGGTTGA